AGACAGAGTCCCGGCAGCGCCAAGGCAGGGCGCGCGCAGCGCAACAGGCGTTTCAAACAGCAAACGGGACGGCCTGCGCAGCCTCTAACTATTTTTAGCAATACCAAACAAACCTAACACTCACACGTCATTTGGGGCCTGTGTGTTTGCATGTATGTAGGAAGGTGAAGAACAGCCAGGCTCGAGAGAGGCTAGGTAGGTAGGTAGAAAGGTGAAGAACAGCCAGGCTCGGACTGGACACCAACGCGGTATGGGTGGACGCGCTGAGAGGCAAGATCAAAAAAGAACTTCCTTCGGGGACACACGATTCCAGAAATGGTTGTGTCCCCGCTCCTCGCTCGCCCGGGCGGAGGGCATGGCCGCGGAGAGGCGAGTACGCGCTGCCAGGCCTTCCGCAGACAGCCTTTTGGCCAGACTGAGGGTCGGCTTTGTGTGGCGTGGCCCGTGCGCTGCGCTGCACAAAGCTGCGTAAACTGCGGGAGCATCCTGTGCTTCCTTTGAGGAGTGCGCACCTCCTGCAGCTGGTGGAAGGCCGTGCCGCCGCTCGTCTGCTCCGTGGACAAGGCGGGGAGGCGACGCCGCAGCGCCGCAGCGTCCGCTGCACGCCGGTGCAGCACTCTGCTGCCTGGTGGGCAGCATGCTGGTGCTGTGCGCGGTGTTTGCGAGGCGGCTTTGGCGCTGTAGTGCCTGCCGCGGCGAGTGGCGCGAGGCACGCGCGGCGCCGCGCGTGGCCCGGACGGCGCCAAAGAGCGCGCTCGATGAGCCAGCCGGCGCGGCGCGAGCGCCGTGCAAGCTGGCACATCGTCTGCATGCTGCCGTCAATTCTCTGGTCGACGGCGGTCAATCTCACGATTGTCGATCAAAACCGGCGGGCTTTGTGACGCCGTTTACGCAATCGTTGTCGAGCTTCGCTTTCTCTTTTGCTTGTTTTTATTTTGTTTTTTCTTTTGCGAAGTGACGGAGGGGGGGCGGGCGGGCGCTAACTATGGGCAACTACATGTCGAAGGTACGAGGACGACTACTCGCCGCCTGGGTCGTTTGGGGCGCGCGGCTCCGTCGAGGACCGGGCGCGCCCCTTACCCGGCGCGGCGTAGGTCCCACTCTGACGTATAGAGGGGAGGCACGGACAACGGCCCAATTCGTCAATTCCACTCATCTTCTGGTGCCTAGCCCCGTGCAGCGGCGGTCCGGCAGGCTGCCCCCAAGGCCCCCTGGGCCGCTGCGGGTTTTGGAGTTATGCTTTGGCACAGCTTCGGCGATGGCGGCCCCTCTCTGGGGCTTGCATAGGCGGGGAGTCTCCCCCGCTGGTCTCCTCATTCCCTTTTTTCTTTTTCTTTTGAGAGCAGGACGCCGGGTTTGTCTTGTATGTGCATGTCGGGCCTGGGTGTGTGTGAGGGGCAGAGGGGCGGGAGCGTGCGGGGCAGAGGCTCAACGTCGGGCGGCTTGTCGGGGTCCGGAGCATTCGTCTAGGGTACGATTCATACTTCCGGGCCGGTGTGCGGGGAGCGAACCTTAACGACCGCCCAGAAGCTTTCTGAGCGAACCAATCGGGCCAGGATCATCAGCATATGTCCCCTCCACAACATCGTGGGCGTTTGAGCGGTATTTGAGGAGCACCGCGACTCTGAAGTTCGGCCGGGTGGTCTGCAGACCCCCCCCCCCGGAGCAGCAGAGGCTCCGTGGGGTCGAAAAGTCGACGCTGGGAGTCGCACTCGTCAAACCGTCGCAACACCACGCGGTACGCACATACCGCCCACATCCCCTCCACCGCTGAGAAGGCGCAGATCGACCGCCGGGCCGCGTAGCCGTCGTTAAGGAGCGGTTTTTGGAGCCGTACGAAGAGGTCCCAGACGGGCGAAGATGCGGTTTTTCGACGACCACACGCGATGTGGTATCTGGTTTTTGCTAAAAACGGGCCGCCTAGTGCAGCATCACTAGTACAACACGCAACCACACTGAAAGCTCCACACTAGCCGGTATAGGCGAGCGCCGACGGCGTCACGGTCGCCGGAGTGGACGCACTGCACACACACTGTGACCGTGTCGTGGGTGTGACAGTGCGCGACACAACCGTCGGCGCCGCGCTATCGCGGCGCCCCGCAGTCTACACGCCTCAGGCACACCCCTGAACGCGCCATGGGCGCGCAGATACACCGCAGCGCCGTGGAGAATCCACACCTGGCCGGTCCCGAGCCCCGTCCTGGGCCTCCAGGCGGCCGAAGATCGGCGTTCGGGCAGGATGAACTTGTCGGAAATGGAGCAAACTTGGCGCGGCTCGTCGCTCGCGGTACCGGGTGAGCCTGGATAGGGCAAAATCTGGGGTGAATACGAGGGACAGAGGTCGCAAGTTTGTCGCGCAAGTTTGCGCGGCGTGGCGCTGCCCCGCTGCCGAGGGCACCACCAACCCGTGGCGGCGGCATTTCCAGCCCAAATTGGGCGTTCCGTGCGCCTTGCCGGCGAGAGTGGACGGGCTGTGCATCGTGGGGGGGGGTGAGTGGGAGGGAGGTGGTCGTGTGCCTACTTTGTCGGCCGCGCGCGAGGAAAATACTGGGTGTGAGGCGCGCAGGAGGCGAGGATGGGCGCGCCGGCGGTCGAGCCGCCGAAGAATTCGACGTGGCGCAGCTCCGCGCCGGCGGGCACGACCGAGCAGATGCTGTCGGCGGCGGTCACGCGACGAGGGAGAGCCGCAGGAGCCCTCTGTGGAGCAGGCGCGCGAAAGCAGCGATGAGTGGCGCTTCGTCAGCCACCTGTGGGCGGTCAGCGGGGTGACGCCACGCCTCAGCGAGCTGGATCCGGGAAGGGCAAGGGGTCACGCGGGCCCTGTCTGCAGCAGCAGTGCTAACTAAAACGACAAAATTCCGGATGGACCGGAGACTGTCTACTCTTTCGGCGCACCGTCCTCGACCGCGCTGAAAAGCTGGCTGGTGGTCGCCGCAGCGCGTCGGCGCGACTCCAACTGGTTGGGCACCTCGGCTGGGTCCATCAGCAAGAGGCCCGCCCCGTCGGGCGGCCCCGGGAACCCATGATGCCCCTCCGAGAGGCGCTGTCAGACGCCCCGCCGAGATCGCGCTGGTTTGGCACGAAAAACACGAGGCGCCAAGGGGAGGGGTCAAGTATCGTACCCTAGATTCGAGGGGGGAGCGAGGAGGGGAGAATGGGCGGTCGGCGACGAGTAGAGCGGCAGGCGCGTACGGGGTAGCCGTCACTTTCCTGCCTCACAAGGGCGGGGCTGTCCCGGAAAGTGAGAGACGCCGGGCAGCGTGGCGCATTACTGAACCCTCCCATACGTGCTCGTGCTCCTCCTTCGCTGTCCCATCTCCCCACCTCTTTCCCGCCTGGGCGGGGCGGTGGGCGGGCGCGCGGTGCGGCGTGGCGTGTGCGTGTGTGCGACTGCAGCGAAGGACCGCTCGCAGAGGTCCATTGGGTTTGTACCATTAACAACGAAGGCGCTCTCAAAAGAAACCGAGGTCAGCTTGGCAAATCATCCGCGGACCAACACTCGATTGCCAAGGCATGCCGCCGCGATTCGAGAGCTCCTCTGCCCCACCGCCGCGCCGCGCCACCATCGCCTCAGTTCGCCCGAAGGGGCCAGCCTGGGCCTCACGCTAGCGCGCCCGCGCAGCGATCGCCCGCCAGCCTGGCGCAGCGATCGCCCGCCAGCGTTCGCTTGGGTCCCACCGCCTCCTTTCCTCTGGACTCACCGCCCTCATCATGCTTAGCACGAGCCAATGTACACCCCATGCGTGCTAATCGGGGCGTAGCAGCTGATGAGTTTCTCCCTGTGCAGGAGCATCTTTCTACGCCGCCGCATCATCACACGTGCCATGATGTCCGTCAGCCCTCGGTCCATCGGGGCCCCGGTCCCAGTGTGTGTCGACCCCATCGCTCCTCCCAATAGGTACCCTCCCAATACGCCGAAGCCATCCATGGCGTACGTTGCGGAGCAGCGCAAAGCGAACCAGCCGCCGCTGCAGGACCTGTATGAAGACATCCGCTCGCACGCCCCCTTCTGGATGCTCCAGTCGAAGCTCAGCATAAGCGTGCCGGACAAAAACAAGAACAAGGACGGCCCGTTTACGTTGGACAACTCGTACTACGAGCGTCCCGACACGTGCTTGGGCAAGTGCCAAGACAAGATTTGTGGCCCGCTAAAGTACCAGTACAACAAGGTCGACTTCGTCCCCGTGCTCAAGCAGGTGGACCAGGCAAACGGCGGAAGCCCTCTGTCGCCTAACGCGCCCGCGTCGGTGCATCTCAACGACAGGCCGTTCGGTGCGAGAGACCGAGAGTGCCCGGACCCCGAACGGATTCATTCTTAATAGGGCGACACTAAGTACCTTGCGATGGGCTCCGTCTTCGAGAACGGGTGCAAGTACTGGCTTGACGACCGATTCTTCCTCGTCGAGGTGGGAAACCCGTACGAGATCGGGGGCGTGCCCTTCGCGGGCGAGATCGGCTCGTACATCCTCTCATTCTCGGGGACAGAGGGCCCGGATGGACTCATCGGGCAAGTTCTTTGCCAAGACGGCATCTGCGGTGCCCCGGGCTGCTGCCCCTGCTTTGGGTACGACAAATGGACGGCCGACAAACTGAAGGTCACGGACAAGGCGAACGACGAACACACGTACTGCGTCTACACGCACGAGCTCGAGGTGTCCACAAACACCCCACGCCCGCATCGCACGCCCCCACACAGACTTAGCCAGAGCACCTCTCGCCCTTAGGCGAACGACAAGATGTTTGCCAGCACCGACACGATGAAGGGCCTGACAGAGGCGGCTCGCCAATTGCGCAAGTCCCGCTTATCATTTGTCGGCCTATGATGCCGGCGCGCTTCACTGTAGGCGCTCGAGGAGTGCCACTTCAAGGACGGCGACAAGAAGATCACGATCGTGGGGTGGAGCCTCGGCGGCGCCCAGGCTCAGATCGCCGCGGTCCGAATCGCCGTCGAGTACAACGCCAAGGTGCGGCTCATCACTTTCGACTCCATTCTCGCCTTCACGCCGGATTCGGCCGAAGTGATCGCCCACAACTTGATCGACAACGACGCGTTCGGCACCGACAAATTCCCGCAGGAGGGAAAGATCAACGCGCAGCGGTGCTCTTAACGGCATGCCGTTCGAGAGAGATCGAACACCCTCCCCATATGATGTTTGATTTTGAACAGGTGGGTGGAGGACGACTCGCCGGCGTCGATCGCCCCTTTCGTCTGGCCGATGATGGGATGCTGCCCCTTCAGCCCCAACAAGACCAAGTACGCGGGCTGCTACCCCTTCATGCGCAAGATTGGCTACGGCCACATCTCAAAGGCGCTGATCCTGAGCGGCTACCACTCCGGATTGCTGCCGTGCGGCGGAGGTACGTAGAGAGATCCAGCGCGATCTGTCGGAGACTTAGTGAGTTCCTGGTGAGTTAGCAAGAGTGGCTGACGACGACTTTCTCGACACCCTCTGCTGCCTCAGGCACGCCTACCTGGACCAACCTCGGCTGCATCCCAAAGAATCTGTGCTTCCTGTGCGAATCCAACCCGACCTACCCAGACGACTCGTTTTATTCGAAGCCGCCGGAGGACCGCATGTACGTGACCAAGGCAGCAAACCTCTGGCGCTGCTTCTTCTGCGGGTACCTCCTGTGTGCCCCGGGCACCGTGTGCAACCACCGGGGGCAGTTCCTGCTCTGGATGCTCTACAAGGGGGCGTACCAGAACGCGGACCCTGTGGGCTACCAGCCGGCGGTCTCCCCTGAGAACCCGGAGATGGACCGCATTTAGACGGTCTTCCCAGAGGGGAGGGGGACTGCCCGGCGGGAGCAGACATATGGGCAGGCATCTGATGCCTTCCTCCCACCTCTCGCCCGGTGCGCCCTGTGCATGGACCTTAGTCGTTGCAGTCCCCGCATGACCCTGAGTGTGCGGTCTGCCGGTCTCTCTTGAAATCTCTCGCGTGTGCGGTGTGCATGCGCGCGAGCCGGGTCACTGTGGTTGCACAACAACGAGTGCTGTGCATATGTGGAGTTGTGATAGACCGCGGAGCTCCGCCCACGGACTCCGCGTAGCGCGTTGCTCCGTGTGGCGCATATTGTCGCGTGGGGTGCTCTCTGGTGAGTGAGACTCTCTCCCTCGAGGACTTGCCGTACACTGGTCTCTAGTCTCTACGGATGTGGGCCGTCGCAATAAATTAAGTTGGCCGCGGTCGCGCAGGGTCGCAGGCGTGCGTTGCGATGGCCGCTTTGGATGTCATCGATGACAACTTTGTTGACAACTACCACCTCGTGCTTATCTCGTCTGACGGCGCCCTGACCATGGCACGGCCCTCTTCGACTTCGTCTGTCCCAATATGCGACGGTGTATCATTCACCTTATGCCACCGTTGCATATCCTAAGGGGAATGATACACCGTCGCCAAAAGGGATATGCAACGGTGGCATAAAGGGT